CATGCCAGTAGTGGTACATGAGTCCATCAGAGCCACCGTGGTGGAGTCATTTCTGGTCACACCGTTACGTTCAGAGGTTTAGTTCATTTGACTTCTAAACCATGTAAGTCCATCGTAAATATAACGGTGTCACCCATGGTAACGATTTTATCTGCTTCGAACTACAAGTTTGAAGCATTTCGCAGTATTTGCTGTAAGTGTCACGCATTGATATCCGATGGTAAAGTCACCAAATTATCACCTCGGGGACGTGTGCTCGAATCCCACCACTACCGCTTGACTTTCTCCATGGCAGCCCTTTGATTGACCGCTTCCCCCTTCCTGAAAATTGTATCATTGTGTATTCAACTAAAGTAAAATGAAAAAGAAATATAACTGCAACTTTAACGCATTCGTCACTTGATTCGAAGTCAGAGTTGCTTCGTCTAGTTCTGATTTCATTATTCGAGTTACATCGACCTGGATCCTCCAAAACGTTAATAACACCCCGCGGTGATTAATGAGTTTTTCAAGCAATCTTATCAATATTGATGCCTCAGAACTTTTTAAATGAGTATTCTTCTTTGTTTCAGCTTCGATAGCCTCGAACCGCTTACCATTCCTTTGGTGAGACAAATGGCGGATTCATGAACTAAACCACAATGCATGATCTTGTCATTCACCTANAGTGTGCGAGGTGAAGATGGTACAGCACTGCATAATGGTAACTCACTCGGGACATCTGAGGCGTGATTGTATCATAAAACATAAGTGGTGAGCTACGAAGAGTTCTTAGATGACAGCACTCGGAGTAGGGTTAGTAGCATCTTACACTTAGAGGAGAACATTTTCTAGGATAAATTATTTGCAGTTCAAGCGGGGCACATCATAAATACGAATATCTGAAAACGAGCTTGTTAACCACTCTGTTGTGTTGTTTAAAATGTGCTCTGTAGGACTATTTCGACAATATCAGAATAATAATAAACAATAAAATAACAGAACAGTTTCGTCTGACGTTCTGAACCATAACATTTTGAAAGGAGGTACACTATCGAACCATTGGTAAAACCAATACCGTTGTACTTCCATGTGTCCGTTGCGGTGGCCGTCTTTCGGCTAAATTGTTCGTCGACTGACAAGGGGCAAATCGATG